CACCACGTGCAGCTATACGACAACCAATTCCAACTTCTAATAACAGATCAAATGTAAGAGAATAATAATAATAATTTATATTTATGATATTCATTTATACTCTAGGTTCAAAATCCACCTCGATTTAATCAATTCCAACAACAACAAATCAGAGCATATGTAACAGGTGCTTCACAACCTCGAATGGCTTCATATGATGCACGACAAACAACTAATACAAATTTTCTTGATGATCGTCGTGTGATAAACGATTTAACATCATTACGAATTACTGTTAATAACAATACAAATGATAATAATAATAATAATCATTATCAAAATTCACAAGATTCTGGTTTGTTGATTTATTTATTTAATTAAAAGAAATTTTATTTCCCTTTAGCATTTCGTTTATCTGAATATGAAGTCGATGAATATGGAGAACAATATGATGAAGAAGCTGATAGAGAAGAAGAAGTTATTAATAATATTCAAATGGTAAGACGAAAAAAAGAAACGAAAAAATTGAATTTTTTTATTTTTATAAATAGCTTTTGACAGAATATGCTCATGGTATTCGACTTTTGGCTTTAGATGAACTTTATCAAGTAAATAATAATAGAGTTTTTAGTTTATTTAAAAATAATCATTTATTAGAAACAATTTGGCAATAGTCTTTTAACTGAATTAAAACTTGCAAATATATTATTACTTCAAGATTATGTTGGTGATTTTGCAAGTATCTCACGTCATGGTGAAGAAAATGGTTCATGTGATCATATTATTACACTTTTGGATCCCAAACAAGTTGCACAAGTAAATATCATATAGAAAACAAAACAAAAGAAATTTAATTGATTTTTATTTTCAGACACAAGTTCAATTACTTCAACAAATAACAAATTCGGGCATTGTTCCATCAAATTTTCGTTATGCAAATAATCTTTTTTCATATATAAATGATTCACGTTTTCAAGGTTTTGTATCAAATGTTGATAAAAATGAACATTGTATTCATATACAACCAGCTCGATATCACGAACATATTGAAACATTAATGGAAGAACTTGAGTAAAGAATAGATTTTTTCATTCATTAAGCATTAATCTATAATTTTTTTGAATATATTTAGTTCATATTATTCAAGTTCAATATCAAATACATTAATTATCAAAAACGTTGAGACAGGTTTATCATGTGTAACACAATATGATGGAATCTATCATCGTGTATTTATAAAAGAAAGTGATTTATATAAATGTGTTATTGTTTATGTTGATTATGGTACAACAGAAGAAGTGAATAAAGAAGATCAACAATTTAAATATTTAGTTACACATTTTGCTGAATTACCTTGTATGGCTATTGCATGTCGATTAGATAATGTTTTTTTTCTACCCGATGATAATCAATGGCCAATAGAAACATATAAAGAAGTTTATGAATTATGTAAACATGGCCCATTGTTTATTGAACCAGTTGGATATATGAATGGACTTGTAACAATTAGGATTTCGGATGCTGATGGAACATATTTAAATGATATTGTTGTTGTCGATTTAAAACTTGCAGTAGGAAGTTTTTTATAATTTGTACAAACATTCATCGATGAATTGTATTTAAAATTAGGCATAATTCCGCGTGTTAGATATCGAAATTAAATATTTGTAAATAATTATCGTTTCATAGTTATTTTATTAATTTCTTATTATTATATTTCAAACAGTACTATTAGTCTAAGGTGATAAAAAAATATCCATAGAATAGCAGTATTCAAAGACTTTGAATCGATTCAGAGTAGTTTGATTTTGCGCAGTTACAAAATTTTCTTGAAGTACTCACATCGATTGCTCAGAGAAATAAATTAAGATAGAAATATAGACTTATACTGGATTAATTGATAGCTTCTATTTTAACTTAATAAGTCACGCAAAGATTTGAGAGATATCTGTTGATAGTATTAATAACTCAAAGCTTCCAAATTCTGACTCTTTACATATATCCTTGATTGAGATCCTTTCAAAACAATTCAGAAAGGTCAAATTTGCGATGTTTAGAAAGTCATTTCAATCCACCAATGGATTTTATTATTTCAAACTAAATAATCACGGTAAATAAATATCATAATTACTTGCTTTCACCGCATAGCCAACTTCTATTTTACTCTTACTCTGCTTTTTAATGACATGCTTCTATAACAATGTATATGTCAATGTTCAATCTGAGCATGAACGCTGATATAAACAGTTTAATTAAATCTACTCTGAAATTAAATAAGATTCATTTACCTTCTCCTACCACAGTACTTGATACATATTTGAATCTATACTGTGCATGTTACATTCTTGATCAAATTTAATATTAAGAAAACATAGAATATATACTATTCAAGTATAAGAGATCAATCATTTCTCAATATTATCGATATAAATAATAGTTTTAGTATTTAAAATCGATGTCTTTCAAGTGTCAAATTAAAGTAAGATATTGTTTTAGGTTAACATAGAAAAACATTCCAATAATGCTGCAATAGAACAATATGAACAAAAACAGTATGTTTTTTTTTCAAATTTATTTATATCCGAAGATTTTAATTTTTAAATATTTAGATCAAATGCACCAAATCCTGTTGAATTAAAATTCGATTTTATAGATACTGCTCGTCAATGTCCATTACCAGATTCCCGACCATCTACACCAGAAACCAATCAAATTAATTCGGAATTTAAATTACCAGAAAATGATAATTTTCAACAAACAGATCATTTTTCCGATGCTGAATATCAATGCAAATTAATTACAATTGATGAAAATAATTCATTTTATCTTATTCGTTATAATGATAACAGACCATTCATTCCATGTTTCAGTTTAGCACATCTTTTAAATGTATCTGAATCAGATCTTCTATCTGAAACTGTAAATCAACATTAATTCAAAAAAATATTTCTTAAAATTTAAATTCATTTTTTTCGTTCTAGTTAATGTCACGTACACGCTTTCAACAAACAGAAGAATATCGTTCGATATTTGATTTTCTTAAACAAACAAATCTATCAAATTGTCTTCATATTAATCAAGATTTTCTCTTTCTTTTTGATTTAATATCAACTTTAAAATTTCTTGAACTACATGTTACAAATGCTTCATTACTTATCGAAACATTACGTCAACAAATTGTAGCATCCAGTGACACACAATACTGGAAGAATAGTCATGTATGAAATACTTCGTATTTATTAGATAATAAATATATTATCTGTTTTATAGGATTGTTACAAACCTCCAAAGGCTGTAACACCAGTGTCATCAGCTCAATCTACAAATCAAAAAGATACGGAACGATATAATGAATTATTAGCTAATCGGTATTTATATGTAGTGTATTATTGAAGTATCGCTAATCAATATCAGAGTTACATCTATATGGGAGAGAGAGGATGGTGAACTATCACTGATTGATGAGGCTTACTATCTCTTCGTCTAATAGGACATTAGTCATTGGCGAAAGTGCGGAGGGTTTGTTGGCGAAACTACAATGAACATTCGCCAATTGGTGAAAGTTCAGGCGCGATTTGGCGTAAGCCCAGTGGATATTCGCCAACTGTAATAGCACAAGATTAGTATAAAATTAACGTTACATTATCGGAATAAGCATATTATAGTCTAAATCCCTCAGTAAAGTTACCAGGAGCTATTTTTATACATATGTAATCATATAATGATACTGGCAGAATTTGGGAATCCCATTGATGAAAATACAGAGATCTATTAGAAAGAGTCTTATTGAGAGAGAGAGATTCAGCTATCATCAATATATACTGGAAGTTTTTCAAGTATATACAATTTTACACCTATAACATCTGATTGAAATAAAAAACTCAGTAAATCAATACCAGAAATTGAGACTTGTGTAGTAAATAGTCTTCTATAAAATGAAATATTGAAGTTTCTCATAAAGCTATAATAGATGTTGAAAGTCCAATACTTTTATATTTGCAAAGATTTTAATTAATTAATTTTTTTTCTTAAAGTAGAAATATTCTATGTAATTTATTACGTACCAATGATATAACTGGCTGTAGTGTTCAACTTGAATCTATTGAAAATGAACTTCAATCATTAGTTGAAAAAATGCGTTTAGGTGCATCATCACAACAACAAATTAGAAATGTCCCATTGACACCACCACCTGGTTTTACTACAAAAAATAATAATGGTATAATTAATAGAAGATTATAATATAAAATCATATTTTTTTTTTGTTTTGTGTTAGATCAACAACAGCAACAATCAACAGTAACTAAAACTGATAAATTAAAAGATTTAATGGAACGATGTAAAACATTAATTAATACAATTCTTGTATTGGATGATCATGTTGTTATTGATGAAAATATAATAAAATATATTCAGAATAATTTACCATTTATAAATTCTGGAAAGATTTCATCAAATGATACTCAATTATATAAACAATATTCTGAATTACTTCAAAATTTAACATTTATTGTTGATGATCTTCGACAAAAATTACCATCTGGTGTTAATTTATGATTTATTGTATAACATTAATATTTCCTGTTTATTATAGCATTCGATTTATGCAAAGGAAAAGCTCGTAGAACATTATTTAAACAAATTTCGATTTACATTTAGTTTTTCTTTTGTTATTGTTGCTAGTTGTATTCTAGTCCTTTGTTAAATGATAACGATTTTTTCTTCTTTTTTTTTTTTTTGTTTGTTAAAATCTTTTTCATGTTAAACTTTATTATAACTTCGAAAGAAAATAGAATAAAAACAAACGGTATTGTCGAAAAATCTCGAAGACAATGTAAACAATTCGTTAATCTATCGAAGCTGATTGCGTATCTTTTCGTTGAAAAAAAAGAATCATTGAATTTCTGTTATCTGTAATTAGGGAACTGCAAAATTACTTTTTTTAGTCCCGGTCTTGATAAAAGCTTAAGAATAATTCTGGTGTTGTCTTCATCTATGCAAAAAAATATGAAGTTCACGAAAATTCCCGCTTTTTCGATTGTAAATTCAATCTATACGGTTTTTCTTAAACTATAAAATAACATATTTGCCAATTTTTAATTAAAGAAAAAAAAAGAAATAAGAAAATGTCTGGTCTCATACTTGATAAAAACATTGAGGAATTAGCTGACAATTTTAGTCTTGGTCCCGGTCCCAGCCCCGCCAGGACCACTTTGCAGTTCTCTATCTGTAATTTGGTTCTCAGCGAAGTGCATACATACTCATCATTCATTATGAAAAATGTGTAGCAAGTTGTGTACTGATTCGTTATCTCCTACATCACTATGATCACTATTAATACTGTATGGATATTTAATTTCGAATGTGTACTAGTAAAGTTTTACTATATTTATCTCACTCGTAAGGGTACATGTTCATTGAGTGATTATCGTATAATTTAAAAAAAGTACTTGAAACACATAAGAAAGAGAAAATGTACATTATCTTAAAGATAAAAGTACAATTAATCTTTATATGTCTTTTATTCCTGTCAATCTCTTTCGAATAGTTTTTTTTTGATATACTTATATATCATCTTCTCAAGTGGATGTCAGCAACTTTTTTTTAGTCAAAGAAAAAGGTTAATTGCATTTTTACTTAGTTTTCTTTGAATCATAAACTAATAAACATTATATTCAGTTAGTTCACAACCATTTTCTTAAATTAAACTTATTAATTTTTTTGAAAACTACTTCACTTTTTTTTATTCTTATCAGTTTGCGACAAGTGGCATATCTCGAAATTGATGTAATAGTTTAACCTCGACGACGTATATGATTCATCAACCTTTAAAAAAAATGTTGGTTTTTACCAAGTAATTCAAAGAATATATGGTTTTGCGCTGTAAACAGAACACAATAAAAAAAAAGGTATTTATAATTTACTAGCAATACATCGTAAACTGTCACGTGGTGATCGCATTATGATAAACAATTTGTCTGTATGTCGACATGCACATATTTTATTTTTATTTTTAATAAAGTTTGTATCCGATGATATATAAGAAACCTGTAAACTATTTATTCCATTATATTATACTGCTTTTGCTTCTATTAACAATTCTTCAACATACTACGTCATGATAAAATAAACATTATTCAAATAGTTTTGCATAGATGCACAGTATTAATAAAAACAACAGAACAAAATATCTTTACTTTTTCCTTTTTTCCAACAAAATATGTACGTAGGGGAAGAAGAAAAAGCTTGTTTGCCTATAGCATGTCGTCTGCATTGTCTCAATCATTTTCTTTTTACCGATTTCATCTGACACAATCATTGTGGTTGCAAAGAATACTTTAAAAACCTCCGAGAATTTTTCGTTCTAGATTATATATGGCCACGACAACGACATTAACATCGCAATCATCAACAAGTTCGAATTCAAGGGAGCTTTGTATTATCTGTGAAGCGCAACCCTATGATTTAATATGTACATGTGGTGATAAATTTGATTTTACTTGCATTCATCAACATGTCGAACAAATTAGTCTTGAATTTCAAGTTCATCGTGAACAAGTTGCACAAAAATTAAATAAAATAAACATAATATGTGATAACGAAAATAGCCATATCAATGCTATTCGAACAAATATAAACGATTGGGTTTGTATTCTATTTAAAAATTAAAGCTATTTCTTTTTTACAACGATTTATTTTTATAGAAACGCAAACGTATTCAAGATATTAATGATGCAGCTGAAAAAGCTCTCAATGATGTTCAACAACATGAAAATAATTTTACAGATATTTCAACATTTGAACAAATATTAAATGATTTATCAGCGGAATCACATCGTGTTGTGCATGATAATTTAAATAAACTTATCGAATTGGGTCATCAAATTCAAAATAAAACTGAAGATATTCAAGCTATACCACCAATCAATCATGATGAAGCTAGTTTAGATTCAATAATTCAATCAAAATTACACCCATCACTATTAACTACAAATGCACCATTGGAACCAATTCTAAACAATCAAAATGATTCAACAACGTCTTTATCAACTCCTCCAACAGCATCAAACAGACATTCGCCACCACTTGTAGAACGAACAGATTCAAATACAAATGCATTATCACATGTAGAATCAACAATATCAGATACAAATACATTGACACCTCAAGAACCAGAAATTGAATCAAACAGTACAACAAACGAAAATGGAGCATCAGCTGATGCTGCAAATTATGATGAATTTGATGCTGGTAAAACACGTCACATTCAACGTATCAATCCGAAAATAATTTCTACAAATTCTGATAAAAATGCTGGCACAATTTGCTGCCATGGTAATCAATTACTTTATAATAGTTACAATCAAGCAACCCATAGTTGTCGTTTAACATTTATACCTGATTTATTAAATCCAACAGACAAAAAATCTATTGATTGGGGCAATCCAGATCAAACTATTAATGGTGATGATGATGAATGGATACAAGATATTGTTTATTCAGATAAACTTTCAGGTTATTTAGTACTTAATCGTGCACGTTTACGTCTCTTTAAACATGATACAAATAAACTCGAAGAATTTCGTATATTTCCTGATCGTACTACGAAACGATTGACATGTAATGAAACATTCATTTATTTAACATCTGCTCATGGTAGTGCATCTTATAATGGTGATGAAATTCTTCTAATAAATTATGATAAAGAAGAACAATTATGTAAAACATTTCGTGATATAATGCCAAGTCGCGTTAATCGAGGATCAGGACAATTACCTGGAGAAATAAGTGATATCGCTGCTGGATCAAATGATCAAATTACAATAGGTTATCGTTTCGAACGACGTCATGAAGTTGGTGTATGTGTATTTAATGTTACAAATAATGGTAAAGATTGGTTATGTATTAAACAATTATTACTTAATGAATGTTGGCATAGTGATTTATCATATACACCAAGAATTGATTGGTGTGAGAAATTAAATAGTTTTATTTTAATTGAATTTATGACCGGTCATTTAATTATGGTTGATCGAGATGGTCAAGTTGAAGGTGAATGTCGATTTATGCAAGCAACAGATCGAACTGAATCACCAATTAATTTAACTATTTCATCAAATGATTGGCTTTGTGTACGATATAATGCATCAATTACTATTCATAAAATTACTTAATACAAAAATCATGTTTTTCTGTTTGATAAGTAGATTTATATATATACTGAATTCAAAATTATAAAGAATCCAAACATTTTTAATAAAAAAATTTTTTTTTGAATAAAAATTATTTTCATTGTCATTTTTAGTCAAACAAAAACAAAATTTAATCGAGTTAGTTTATTGTGAAAAGTTTTCAAAACTATAGAAAAAAAACGCTAAAAACCACTGCACAGATAATGATATTTATACAAACGAATTTAATCTTTACGTAATTTTGCAATATCTTCAATATGTTGAATAATTAATGCTGTCCAACCTGTTTGATGACTAGCACCTAATCCACGTCCTGTACAACCATGAAAATATTCATAAAAAAGTACTAGATCACGAAAATTTGGATCCGTTTCATAAATCTTATCATCACCATTGCATGGTCGTTTACCATTTTCATCTAATAGAAATATTTTCACTAAACGTCTAGCAAGTTCTTGTGATACTTCTTTTAAATTCATTAATTTTCCACTTCCGGTTGGACATTCGATTTTCCATTCATCACCATACGAACGATGATAACGTTCAAGTGCTTCAATAACTAAATAATTAATACATAACCATATTGGACCACGCCAATTAGAATTTCCTCCGAACATGCCCGTTTTTGATTCACCTGGTGAATAACTGACACATTGATCTTCTTGATGACATCCATGAAATACATATGGATGTTTGTCATGATATTTTGATAATGAACGTAAACCATACTCAGAAAGAAATTCATTTTCATCTAATATATATGCAAGCATGCGACGAAGACGATCTTCTGATGGTATTGCAAGTAAATAAGCTTCACTACTATCATGTTTAGTTGATTTTCGATGAGTCATATGTTGTCGAAGACTAGGTTTATATTTTAAAAACCAATCTAAACGTTTTTTAAAACCTGGTAAATTCTCGATTCTTTCAACTTCAAGAACAGAAACAGCAATTAATGGCATTACACCAACTAATGAACGTGCTATTCAAAAAAACAAAAAGTTCAAAGCATAAAAAAACAAACCAATTCTTCTTACATTTCAATATAGTAATCTCATCTGTTTTACCACACTTTACTTGATCATAATAGAACCCATCTTCTTCATCCCATAAACCTGTACCACCATGAACATTCATTGCATCAACAATTTGAACAAAATGCTCGAAAAATTTCGATGCCATATCTTCATATGCTTCAATAACAGGTGAACCATTGACACCACCAGCTAATTCAATTGCAATAGCAAACATTGTTAAACTATAGAAACACATCCATGATGTACCATCTGATTGATGCATTGTACCACCTTCAGGTAATTTTGCAGAACGATCAAATACACCGATATTATCAAGACCAAGAAAACCACCAGCAAATAAATTTTGATTATCCGGATCTTTACGATTAACCCACCAAGTAAAATTCATTAAATATTTAAGAAAAACACTTTCAAGAAATGATCGATCACGCTCTTCTTTTTTATCCGTCGACATTTTATATATTCGCCATGCTGCCCAAGCACCAACTGGTGGATTAACATCACCAAAATTAAATTCATATGCTGGAATTTGTCCATTTGGATGCATATACCATTCACGTAAAAATAATCTTAATTGTGTTTTAGCAAAATGAGGATCAATATGTGCAAATGGAACAACATGAAATGCTAAATCCCAACTAGCAAACCATGGATATTCCCATTTATCAGGCATTGATATTATATCTCGACAGTATCTAATAGACAGAAAAAAACGATTAAAAGAAAATGAGAAAAATATTAACTTACAAATGTAACCAATCTTTATTTCTAATATTTTTTTTACGAGCTTCTGATGCACTCATTATATCACTATCACCATCAATCCATTCGTCGATTATATAATGATAAAATTGTTTTGAATGTAAAAGACCAGCATAAGCTTGTCGAACAATATTTCTTTCATCTTGATTTAATTTCGAATTAATTGTCGCCGAATAAAATTCTTCAGTTTCATTAATTCGTTTTTCAAATATTTCATCAATAGATTTAAAATCAAGTTTAGCTGGAATTTTTCCATCATCTAATAAACGATATAATCGAAGACGAATTGTTGCCGATGATTTAGCTTTAACATTCAAACGATAATATAATCCAACTTTTGTACCACGTCGTTTTGGATTAACAAGATCTTTTTGTTTATTTATAATATATTCATTAAATGCATCTTTAACATATGGTTTAGGATTATCGATATTATATAACCGTTGAACATTTGTTTCATTTTCTGTAAAAAGTACTTCAGGCATTTGTTGATTTTCATCGGTATTAATATCGAATAGAAATGGCTCAAGTGTATCATGTTTTGTACGTAGAAAATTTTCATTATCTTTTTGTTCAATATTTGGACGCATTGTACAACCTTCATGTTTACAACCCCATGACCATGTATTACGAAAAAATAATGTTGGAATAAGATGTAATGGTGCATCATTTGATGAACGATTTTCAATTTTAATTCGAATGAGAATATCATCCGGAGAATTTTTTGCATATTCAGCTGAGATATCGAAATATTCATTATTATCAAATAGTTTTGTATCGAGTAATTCATATTCACGTTCTTCTTTTGAACGAGAACGATTTTCTTCAATTAATTGTTGATATGGATATTCATTTTGTGGATATTTATAAAGACTTTTAAAATAAGAATGTGTTGGCGTTGAATCAAGATAATAATAAAGTTCTTTAACATCTTCACCATGATTTCCTTCTGAAATTTTTTTTAATTATAAAACAAAAATATATAGAATAATAATTACCAGGTCCAGTTAAACCAAATAAACGTTCTTTAAGTATAGAATCTTTTTCATTCCATAATGATAATGAAAAACATAAACGACATTCACGATCAGTAAAACCTAAAAGACCATCTTCACCCCAACGATAAGCACGTGATCGTGCATGATCATGCGGAAAATATGTCCAACAATCACCCGTATCAGAATAATCCTATTTCATAAAAGTCAACATATGAATGGACAAAAAAAAGTTTTTCTATTTACTTCACGAACAGTACCCCATTGTCGTTCAGCTAAATATGGTCCCCATCTTTTCCAATTACTTTCCCGAGCAGAATCTTCACGTAAACGTCCGTGTTCAGCATCGAATGATGTAGGCATTTTAAATAAACCTTTTATCGAAAGAAAAAAATACTCATATAATAATAAACAAAGCTATATTTAAATACGAAAAGAGAAAAGAATGTCACTTATTTCGATAATCGAGTACATTACCTTCTAACCTATAATTATTCGTTTTGAATAGAATAGTAAAAAATGAGTATCTAATAAAAAATATTATCAAAAGAGATCGCTGTAATTCTGACTTCGTTTTTATTATTATTTTTTTTTCTTCGTTCGATCGGATAATCCAAATCGATATGCTAATTTATTTATCTATTTCTAATAATACAAACACAAGAATAATGTACACGAACTGAATCACGACAAACAGAAGTGTACTCGAACTTATATATATATAATAGATGAACTTTTGATCTTCATGAATCGATTTATTTGATCATTCATTAATGATCTGTTTTGTATTTTAATACGAACATAAGATATAAATGAATAATTGGCTGATTTTCATTTGTTTTTATACACGAAATCGTACTTGTAAGAAACGACCTTTATATGGCATATTATGTAATGCTTTAATTGATGCTAATGCATCGTTCATATGTCGAAATACTACAAAACCATAACCTTAAATTAGAAATAAAAGTTTCATAATTTTATCGATGAATGAATAACAAGAATAACCTTTTCCAATAGTTGTTCGTTTATTTTTAATAATATCTGTACGAAGTATAGGTCCAAAACTTTGGAAAATATTTAAGACTTCTTCTTGTGTTGTTTCTGGTCCAATACCATAAATAAAAACAACAAAACCACCAGTTGATGCATCAACTATATTCGATGGAACTGATGATGAATCAGTTGAATCAACACTTGATTGTTGACCTGTTCCATTATTCAATGATTCATTAGATGTTAACGACGAATTTGATCTAAATAAGTAAACAACATTTTTGACTCAAAATAAATATTAAAAAATTACACTCCATTTGTCGTTGCTAATTCATCAAGTATTTGTTCCGTATTTTTATTTTGTGATGTTGTAATGTTATTTGGATATAGAACAGGTAATGGAATTGATGATGAACATACATTTGACCAAAATGGCATCATTAATAAAGTATTCATAAGTAAATTCATATCTTGTCCTTGTTGTTGTGTATCATTGTTCGAATTATTTCCATTTGCAATTAAATTTAATTGAGCTATTTGTGCAGTAAGAACATCAGATGGATCATGAAGATTTGTTGAATTTGATAATGATGAAATATTATTATTATTATCGATTTGTGGTAAATAGCGTGCCATTAATTGACGTCGACGTTTATCATCATCAGCAAATTTAACAAGTAATGGACGTTGATGATCAATAATTTTTCCATTAAGATATTCAACTAAAAAATAATTCATTTAGATTTTATTGTAAGAAAATCTTTGTAATGTTTTTACCAGCACGTTGTGCTTGTGAACGAGTACCCATAATGACGAATGCAATACCTCGTGGACTTTCTGTTGATTGATCACGAATAACACGTGCTTGAATTATTTCTCCAAATGGTGAAAATAATTCAATTAATTTATTTTCATCACATTTTTCTATGAAAATTCATAAGAAATGAAATTTATGATTTCACCGTATTTTATATTACCAGGTAAATTTCGTATATAAAGATTTGTACCACGTGTTTCTTCACATTTTGGTCTTGCATATGATACTTTAATAGTTTTATGTTCCATTTTTAATTGATTCAATGTATCAATTGCTATAGAAAGAAAAACAAATGAACAAAGAATTCGAAAAAGTAATTTACCTTTCGCTGCATCTTCAGCTTGATAATAATCAACAAAACCATATCCATATGAATACCCTGTTGCTCGATCATACCTAATAAAACTCATATCAATCAATTCTTATATTATAAGTTAATTTTACATTAAACGACAGTATCGTAATCGACCAATACGTGCAAACATTTGATGAAATTGTTGTTCTTTAACTGATTGTGGAAGATAATTAACAATTAAACATGTACGACTATGACCATTTTTACTTAAATTTGAAGCATAACCACTTGAATCAGTACCTTTCGTATGACCACTACCTAATGATATATCCGATAATGTATTTATAGTAGTATGATCGATTGAATTATTTAAAACCATTTTTATGAAAAAGTATAAAATCGGATGTTGGAAGTATGAAAAAGTGTTAGAATATGATGTTAATGATAATTCTAATCAGCCGATGATTGAATGATAATGAAATGATGTTATGAAGAGGAAACTTCTTATTTTTGGGAAATAGATTCAACAACTAACTTTTACTACTTAGTTACAAAATCATAACTATAAAATATTGTGCGCGTCATTTTCATATGAGCGGGAAGTTGAAAAAACGATCAAGTAAATCTTTTTCTAATTATTTAGAATATTATTAATTTCCTAGAAAAAATCGCATGTTTACATAGACTATGAAAATAATTTTATATAGAAAAAATGAAAAATTAATAAAACAATATTTCGCTGCCATCTGTGATTTTTTTTCATATTTATATCGTTCATTCGTCAACAATTATCTACCATTGGCAATGCAATATGTGGAGTTAGGTCATTGAGTACTTTGATACTAAGGAACGAAATCAAAATTAGAATTTATAGAAGATAAAAGTTATCGATATGAAAAACAATCCGATAATAGATATAAAAGTCAAATATTACGTTCTATTCTATTTAAAAATAAATCGCAATGGCATCGGATGACGCGACACGTCTTGTTTCGGGTCTTTTAAAACATCATTATACATTCTCTCCAATACTTGGTTTTCCATTAACAACAAAAAATGCTCGTGAGCTTGATTTAAGTATTCATAATAAAGAAATACAAAAACATCCAGATTGGGAAGCCTATGTTAATAGTCTTGATCATATAAATTTTGTTTGGTAATAATAATTCTATTTGTTCTTATTTATATTTTTCTATTTTTCATATAGGTTAGGTGGATATGGTGAAGAACGAAATATTTATTCTCAAGGAGCTCAATTTGCTGAAAATGATCGTTGTATACATTTAGGTGTTGATATAACATTAAAAGCCAATACTCTTATTTATGCTCCACTTGCTGGACGTATACATAGTTTTCAAAATAATGATAAACCATTTGATTATGGACCAACAATAATTCTCGAACATGATCTTGATAAAAATATACATTTCTATACACTCTATGGACATTTAAGTTTGATTAGTTTGGAAAATTTAACTGTTGGACAATCTTTTGAACCAGGTCAACTCGTTGGATATATTGGAAGTAAATCTGAAAATGGTGGTTGGAGTCCACATTTACATTTTCAAATTATATCTGATATGGATAATATGAAAGGTGATTATCCTGGTGTTGCATCAAAAATCGATGCATTAACAATGCTTCATAAGTGTCCTGATCCACAATTAATTCTTGGCTTTCCTGAAAAACCAGTTATTTATTAAAAATAAAAAATTCTTTTTTTTTCTTTAATTTTTTTTATTCATGAAAATCGTATATTCCAACTTTGTAGATGAAAGAAGATGAAAATAAAGATAAGTTTTTCATTCAAGAATATGAATGTGGAGAAAAAACGAATTTATATCGAATAGAAAACCAACGAAAATGTGTAAATGTATCAACAATAAATAAAAAATCGAATCTTTCTTTTTTATCTCTTTTTCGAGCGTTTTTCTATCCAGATAATTATCCATTAAGTAATGCATATATTTCTTCTATTTAATAAAATTAATTTTTTTCATCGCTAGGTGTTAGTTCTGATTATGGTATTTATCAATTTTATAATATATTTCAAACTGGATGTATTGCAATATCCGGTGCATTAGCATTTAGTGCACTTTTTCGTGGAATGGGTGTTGGAGAAAATACATCGAAATATTTATCTGCTGCAATTGTTTGGTTACTTAAAGATGGTGCAGGAATGATCGGTCGAATTATATTTGCCTGGGGTTTTGCATCATCATTAGATGCTGATTGTAAACGATGGCATTTTTTCGGTGATATACTCAATGATGTTGCATGTATATTGGATTTAATAACACCTTATTTTCAACCGGCACTATTATTTATTTCGAGTATTTCGAATATATGTCGAGCAGTAACAGGAGTTATTCACGGTTCAACAAGAACAGTCATATTTCAAGTAAGATATATTCAGATCTAGATCCACTATTCTATAGTTATCATATGAATACTGAAACTGCGCTGATTAACACATCGTTTTTTTTATTCATTTAGCATCAAGCACGTCATAATAATGTTGCTGATATAACAGCAAAATGTTCCAGTTTAGAAACAAGTAAATAGAATATATATGTACATTAAAATTTATATACATATATTCGAATATATTTAGTGGTTAGTCTAGTCGCTCTATTTGTTAATGTTGCTCTTCTTTCAATTCTTCCAATAAGTTTTATATGGCCAATATTTATTATTTTAACTTGTGGACATCTTTGGGGAAATTATAAAGCAAAACGATGCATTTTATTTAATGTATTTAATCATCAACGTTTTCATTTAGTTTGTTTAGAATATTTTCAAACAAATGGTAAACAAATACTTTCTATTGAACAAGTTAATAATCAAGAACCAATATTATTTAAAACATCAATACCATATTATTCCCATATAGGTATATCACTAAATTCTATACCTGAAAGAATTTTTCCAACACAAGAACAATTAGAAAAATTTCATACGAATGAATATGAACGTTTTTTAATATTATATGATAAACAAACTAATACATTTTATGTTCTTCTTAAACCACATTCTGATACAGATGATTTAATTCGAATAAATTTTTTTATTGAAATACTTTCCTGCGCAATGAATACAACAAGAGAATATTCAAATGAAGGATTTCATCTATTAATTAATCGTATACAAAAACAATTACCCAACTTAAATACATGTTTAGATATATTACATGAAGATAATAATAAATGTTATGAACAATTCAAACAAATCTGTTTACAAAATGGTTATAATTTTCATCGATGTCTATTTAATATCGATGTTTATCGAATTCAGTAATTTTTTTTGTTATATTGAAAATCTCGCAAACTATATTTATTCGCGCTATTATAATAGTAAATGTTTAGGATTGTCGTTATTTTTCTTTATCTGATATTAATATTGACAAAAGCATTTTCTTTTTTTGAACAAATAAATAACGTTAATTATGTCGGACCTTGTGTTGTTTTATGAAAATCTTCAAAGGAAAACAAAAAAAAAAAAAACTTGATAAAAAGTCATAAAGAAAAACCTTCACATACATTGCTCACGTTCGAATCACCGTCAATGTCTTTTAAATAAAGTGAGCTAAACTACAACAATGAATGAAAAAACGTGTAGAATTTCACATAGCTTATGGAAATAAAAGTCAAAAAAACAAAACATGTTAAATATGATCTAGACATACACAAAACAACAACAACAATAATAATAAAGAGAAAATGAAAAAACAATAACAGAAAGAGAATTGTTCAATGTTCTTTTCTTTTATTCATCAAGACGAATTAACTAAGCTTTCTTTTCTCGTCGAGCAGCTAATGTTGCTAATACTCGATGACCAAAAATAAATAATGGGATTGAAATCAAAGCTAAATAACGAATTGTTTGAAACATATCCAAATATTTCCAATAGAAAAACATCAATGCAAAAACGGCTAAAACAAAAAAAATATATTTAAATTTTTGTTCTTAATCATTAATTTACCTCCATGAGATATATGGAAACCTAATGGACTAAGTCCTAATGGTAAACCAGATAAATTAAAACCAAGTTTAATCCACTAAAATAAAAATTTTGTTTTTTTTTTGAAAAAAAAAATTCGAATCTTCTTACTAAAATGAAAAGAATTAATAATGGTAATAATGTTAAAGCACTAAAAACAAGTGAAACAACAGTTGGTGGTCGAACTTCATCTAAACGGAATTGATGAACGATTTCTGGTCGTGGGACATATAAGTTTTGATGGTTTTTATCGGCTTGACTATCTTCATGGAATGATAATTGAATATTATCGTTTAATTTCCATTCATAGGCATTTTGTAATAATTGATCACCAAGAATTAAAGCAGCATTATAAGCACCTGATTGATGACGAAAATCATTGGCATTTGTTTGTAAATCCTAATTGAAAAAATTTAAGTATATAAAAATAATGTTTTTTTATTTACATACCACTTCAACTTTATATTGTGAATTACTACCATCGGTTGCTTCGGCTAAATAAATAATTTCTTTATTGGATTTTTTATTTGTAAAACGTAAAAATGCTTGTTGAACACGAATAAATTCGCCAGTTCGTTTATCTTTTATTTGGAATTTTAATACTAATTTTTGATGATAATCAAGTTCAAGTTTTTCTGATTGAACATTTGGATATGTTAATCTACATAATTTAATAAACAAATGACATTTTTTTTGTATTTATTATGATAGATTTCACTTACTTGTATGTCTTAGCTTGAGCAGTATTATCACGATCTGAAACACTTAATTCAGCATTTTCAATTGCTCCTTCTGATGTAACTTTAACATCAATCTAGAAAATATGATACATATATTTTTAATGAAAAATCTTTTGTTTTGAATACGAACTGTATTATCAGTTAAACCAATAAGTTTTCCATCACCACGTGGTGTTAATGTTAAATGAATTGTATAAAATCCACGAGGAATTTTTGTATCATAGAATGGTAATTCAAATACGGAGCTAAATAAAAATATTCGATAAATTTGTTTTTATTTTTTTCATAATAAACATACAAATCACTAGCTTTTGATGTAAGTTTTTGTTTGGATATAACAACAACTCCATCGTCTTTACGTTTTGCAGATTCAGCAACAACAGATATTTCACCAACTGGTTGTCCTAAAAGATTTGATACTGAAACAAGTACTGATGGATTTTGTGCACTAATAGCCGATGGACTAACACGTGTAACTACAACTGGCATTGTATTCTAAAATTACAATCAATTGTATTTTTTTCAATATAAATTTTTGATGATCTTACTTTATTATCGGATAAATATTTAAATACTTTTGTTAAATAATAAGCACTGCGTAAAGTAGCAACATGTCGTTTAGTTGAAAAATACGATGCAAATTTATGTAATTGTTTTGGATCAATTTTCATTGCTGCACCAGCTTTTTCAGCAACTTCATAAAATGCACTAACTAAAAGTGCTGTTGTACCAACACCACCTTCATATTGTAATGTACGTCCATCGATTTCATCAGCTTGTTGAACAAGATCATTAACTGTATCAGCATAAAATTTGGCAACTGGTTGACTTAATTGTGCGCCTGTTAATAATGCATAACCTTGACTTAAGATACTATCATCTGTTTTAGCTAATGTATTAAGACGTTTTTCAATGCTAGCTTCATCAACAGTTAAACCAAGATTAACACTTGAGCTTACAGCATAATAAATTTCCGATGTTGTACTTTTATCAGATTGAAGAGTTGATGTTACAACTGAACGGTAATCTTCTACAGGTAACTAAAAAATAAATAAAAATAGTAATAAGCTTTTGATTTAAGTTAAAAAACGAAGTACTTTGCAATTAGCTAATGTTTTAGCTGCTTCAGTTGCATGATAGATTGATTCAATATTCGATTTATCAACTAATTTTTTGATGTCATTACAAAATGAATCAGGTGGTTGAACACCAAGTTCTTTAATACCAGCTAAAGTGTAATGTAATGATGCTACATCCGAAAATGATTTCATGGCTGTTTGAAATTGAGCTTTAAGACCATCTAAATTAGCTGGACTTAAATTAGCAGCTACAGTTGAGGTAGCACACCAGGAAAATATTGGTAAGATCATAAAAATGATCATCATAAACGATGTAGACGTCATTTTGTATCTGAAAACGAAAAGAAAAGTAAAGAATATATATATCTATATATATATATCTGTATGTCCAATTTAGAATAAGCTGGTTAAACTCTGCCGCCATATTGACAACGACAGCATTTGCCATTTCATTGGTCCATATTTCTAGACAAATTATAACTAACTTGATTTTTTTAATTTTTACCTATGACTAGAGGACGCAAGTATCTATTGAAAGAAAAAGTAAAAAATGTTTACACTTAACAAATTATTTTTCTTAAAGTTTAATAATATGATCAAAAACAACAAACGAATCAGGATTCGATTTCAGTTAAATCAAGCAACTATTCTATGCTTCGTTCAGTGGTGGATTTAGGAAGGGCGATTGCTCCCCCTCTTCCGAATTTTTTGTTGATTTTTTACAGCAAAAATAGGTTCGCACTACTTCGATTGGACGCAACAAATAGCTTTTAGCCAATATCGCTCTCCCCTCTCCCCAGGTATCTTTCTCCCCTTCTAAAATCCTAGATCCGCCACTGGCTTCGCTCTTATGTATGACCTATGTTATAATTCTTATTTTATTTTACATCTAATTCATTAAATAGATGACCGATAACGAGTACATTCTATCAAATCTAAATCATGATCTTTACTAATTTTTTTACAAGCATATCACTGATAAATTAGAGGACAATATTATATCTACGATAGAATATTATCTCAAAACCTTGTAATTAGTCATGCATTTCAATCATTTACGTAGTTTTAATCTCAATGACAAATAATATTTTCATTGACGAAATAATGGGAAATTAATTTCTAGATTTAGTATTGCAAATAATATATACACATTATTAATTCTATAAAATTTATTTTGTTTCGTGTCTTTCTATCTGTTCTATCGATACATATATTTATATATAAACATTACAAAACAAAAAAAAATAGTAATAGAGAATACACGATTAACGTCAATTGAAATTAGAATATTTTTAGTGGATAAGATTGTTTCATAATAAATGAAACAAGTCGATACATGACAAAAACAGCAATTCGAGTGCGTAGGTTCTTTTTTGTTTTTGATTATCATAATTTTGTATTTCAACAAGTTAAAGCCGGACTTATAAAACAATGTAACAAAGAGAAAAGAAAAGAAAAGAAAAGAATACAAATGAATTATACAATTTTACTCGATTAAGATAATATTTTTTTTTCGTACACCTGAGATAAATAAAAAAAACTTGTTCTTATTAATTGAAATTTAAGAAGATGTTTTCAATGGAGGAATAGAAATAGGCCGATCAGGAAATGTTGTCATTGTTGATAGAATACCTGTACAAGCAGGTGTTGATGAAGGACGATTTTTATTTAGTGAAGATGAATCTGTTTTACTAATATGACCACAGGATCGATTGTCAGGTGATGAGGGTGTTGGTGTACCTGTTGATTTACCATAAAAATCACGTTTTTTACGCGGTGATTGCAATGTCATATCTTGACTAGAAATGATAGCAAATATGAATATATATATATATATATTAAGATTAAGAAAACAAACTTTATGTCATCAGATTTAATTGATGATGTTTCAAATATTTTTTTAGTTGATGGAAGAGAATTAATTAATGTTTTAACATTGACTGATTGAACGATAGTTAGTTGTAAAAGTTTTTCTTGTTTTTTGTGATGTCCACTTTTTGATACAACTGAATGAACTTGAACAGGTTCAAGTTTTTTAGTTGATAAAAGATTATTAAAACTATCAGGTACAATTGAAGTTAATGATGATGGTGGTAGTGGTAGAGGTGGTAAGGATTCTTGTATTTCATTACGATTTTCACTAACTTTAATGATTTTTATTGGTGAAACAGTTGCATTACCATCGGAATTTAGATTTGGAGTTTTCTTTGCTCGTTTTT